CGGTGTCTCAAAGTAAGTATGGCTTCTGGCAGCATACTGTTGATGGATGAAATCTTGCACCACCTAGGGGCCCTAAATTACTGTAACTCCTAGGACTTTAGGGACTTAAGGTGGTGCAAGACATCCTCCATCAACAGTAGTCTTACCACACGGGCTCAGTTTGAATCCATGCAGCTCCGAGTGAGTATGACTGCAAGATGAAGTGCGCGAGACTTTTTGTTGAGCCACGCCAACACATACAAACAACTGCCAGCCTCCGTGCAGCAAAGGACCGACGTCCGGAAGTACTGTCGGCAGGCCACGTGATAGGTGCTGGACGTGTATCCAGAGGGGCATGAGGTTTCTGCCAGCAAGTATGCATATATGTATGTATGTATGTATGTATGTACGTATGTACGTATGTACGTATGTACGTATGTACGTATGTACGTATGTACGTATGTACGTAGTACGTACGTATGTACGTAGTACGTACGTATGTACGTAGTACGTACGTATGTACGTAGTACGTACGTATGTACGTACGTAGGTAGGTATGCATGTATGTATCATCACCATGATGCATGCATGCGTGCGATGGGTTAGCTACAGAGCTTGGATTTTTATGTCAGCTTGGAAACATGCGATTGTAATGTGCTGGTGCTGGAGAAAGCTAGCCTTGAGTAGGGATATCCTGGGCAGCGTGATCTTACGTGTCACTGTACGCAAGCCCCGAGGTCAGCGAGAATTTTCTTCTCCGCAAATGAACTGATTCAACTGATTTAACAGTAAAACAGTAGGGTTCAGGTGTTTAGGGGACTTAACAGTCCCAGATCGCTACCGTGAATCATGGTACTACCAAAGTTCAGGCTTCGAGGACTCAAGATTGAATTTCCCAGGTCGTTCTCTCGTCTCGGCTCAGCTTGCTTGTACGGATGTCTGGGGTTATTTGCTTATAGGACCTAGGGTAAAAGTACACTTACTACGTCCCACCTTAAGCCCCAAACCACAGGCCTTAAACTATATGAAATCATATGGTAATCTCCATTTTGAATTACCATTTCCCCAGTCCTTACTGAGTCTACTAAGTCCCTTGGAAACTAACCCTAAACCCCTTGCGCAGGTCGACTTGCCTGTCGAAATCTCCAACCTCTGGCAGAGCTTAGACTCCGATTCGGACGGAAAGGTCCGCATGGAGGACTTCACCACGTACCGGTCCCTTTAATAGTGTTCAGGGCTCCCTTTGAAGGGTTATATAAGGTTTAGGCATTATAGATTTTCTCAAAGCAGAGCAGGTTTCTTGTTTGAGGCGCTGTTGTGCGGAAGTGCCAGAAGAACAAGACGATTACATTGTTTCCTACATTCTTCCCGTCTGTATACCTTGGCTGCCTTGCGCTTTGAATTTGTGCAGGCGAAAACATCCGACTTCGTTTATTGGATTTACTGACGGGTGTTTTCAATGATCTGGAAGTACCACTTCTGTCTGGAGTGCTTTCGATGACTGCCTTCCTGCAAGCATGATTTCTGTCCGGGTTTTCCAGAGGCTACATACATCCCAGCCCACAGATACGTTCCAAATACAAGGATCTTCACCAGCTACCTTACCGATGAATTCAACATGCCCACGATTTTCAGTTTATAACATAACACAGTACTGGAATAAACTTCTTTAAATATAACACAGCACTGGAATAAACCTCTGTAAAACGGGAGTGGGGGTGTATTGGAATGGAGTGAAGAGAAGGAACCTGTGCGGGCTGCAGGAGCTCTGTTCTCAGAGGGCAGAAGTGCTGGCCAAGTTCAAGGAAACTGGATCAGCCTGATCTAGGGTTTCGAGGGTTGAGGGCGGGCTTCAGGGTGTATAGTCCCCGTTAAGTAGATAGAATGTGGGGTATATGGGGATCTTATTAAATTATACCCAAAGCCATCTTCTATCTACTTAAGGGGGACTATAGGGCTTGGGGCTTTGGTTGGTGTGGTTTACGGGTGTTTGGGGGTGTAGTCTAGGGTGTAGGGTTTGGGTGGCTTGGAGCACCTACAAGAGTAAAATGGTCTGTCGGTACCACGAAACTGAACATGAAAGCCGGACTTTAGCCAGCAACTATTCTTGCACCCTGCAAGTGATAGGGACTCGGAAGTGCTGCCTGGACACAAAATCATGAACAGTAGGAATTCTTGACTTTGGCGCACCTCAATTCCGGTGAACGACTGGAGACCTGCAAGATCTGCAAGCTTTTCCGAGGGTTCGGATACAGGATCGTGATCACCTACCCCTAATTGGATAATGGACCTGCCCCCCCCCCTCCTGCTATACTTCTACACCCCAAATGGCGTCATAAGATCGGGGGACATGTGCTATGAGCAGAAGTCCTGGGCTTATTTTCGGGAGAATGGGATTGGTTGTAAATGCTAGCCCACCTGCACCTGGGCTGTTAGGCTGCGGTGTGATCTCCCTTCAGCCGTCTGAGGGTAAAAGGGGTTACGGGCTAGGCACAAAGGAGCCCTCGAGGGGACCCCTATCATTACATCATCCCCATCCCCATTCCCGCTATTGAGGGCTTCTCTATAGGGACCTCAATAATTGCCAAGATTGGGGTTCTAGATTCCTTAGAAATTAGAGTATAGGGTACTTCGAATTAAACCCCAACAATTTATAGGTTATTTACCACTCGGTTGCTTGTAAGGAACTTAAATCAAATTACTATAATACGGAAACCCTTTTACTAAAGACCCATAATATGGTAGCTTAGCTTAAGTTCAATAGCAGCTAAACCCTAAACCCTAAGCCGCCCACCAGTACTTCTCAGATCTTCCCAACAGTTTGAGTGAAAAAGGAGTGGAGTCGGCGCGGGTTTGGCTCTGCCGTTGCCCTGTGGGAGACTCCCGAGGCTCCTTCGGGTTTAGTGTTCCGGGCTCTAGGGTTTATAGGGTTTAGTCCCTAAAGGTTTAGGGTTCAGGGATGGACATGATAGAATTTGGGATTTAGGGTCTATAGGGTTTGGGGCATGTTTTTGAGTGAAATTTGGGATTTGTTTGTTGGGGTCCCCAGTCCATTAGGGCTCCGCATATTCGTGGTACCCTAGCGAGGGGACCATAATGTTGATGTCCTCCCCATTTAGGGGAGAAACCCAATGCTCTGAGGGAATTCATGGGTATATCTAGACTCAAGTTGTTGCACCCCCCTTTTGAGAGTGCGTGTCCATCAGCAGGCCTTTGCCGTTCTTTGCTTTAGGTGATCCAGGAACAACTTTGCAGCACTAGTAGTGCGAAGAGACCTAGCAGGCCCGAAGAGAGCACATGGTAGCCTCCCCAAGCTAACATGAAACTAGGGTTTAGGGTTCAGGGTTTGGGTTTAGGTTTTAGGATTTAGGGTTTAGGTTTAAGGGTTGGGGTTTAGAAGCATAGAAATAATGCTCACATGAGGCTATTTGGATTCTTAGGGTCATATAGCCCCTTTTTAAGAGGACTACTCTCTGTAGGGCCCTTCTTCATGTTCCATGTGAGATTGGGGAGGGTAATTCCTAGCATCTCCCAAAGGAACAGCGAGGACGAAGGTAAATCCTAAACGCCATAATTCATTCACGGCTACTACTATTATTGGTGTTACTAGAACTCTTGTTATTACTGCTATTTCCATTATTAGTATTCATAGTAGTATCACGGTTTTTACAATTGTTATTATTAGTATATATGTGTATATCTAGATACATATATAGATATATATATATACATACATACACAAATTAATCCAAAGCTCTAAAAGCTCCCACACTCAAACCCGAGCCCCTAGATTTCCTACAGTTAATTATTGCCCTGTGGACTACATAGACTCCAGCAGGTTCACGGCTTGTGAAACGTCATAGGGTTTGCGATAATGTAGGGTGTTATGATACCATTCTAGGATTTATTTGTCCCTGAGGCGTGTATGAGGATCATGGTAGGTGTCTTTCAACGAAAGAAGCTCTGACCCCCGTCCGTTCCTTCTTTCGTCCACTTTTTCCCCTCTCACCTCCATCCGCGGAGGCTCGTGTCAGCAACACGAGCCACGAGCCCACAGATGGAAAACTCACATGCTATAACTGTGATGAAGGAAACGGCTGAAGATTTGCAATGATGCATGTCAGTTAGCCAAGAAGCATCAACAGCCCTGCAAGCATCAATATGAATGGTAGCATGCGCTAGTCCTAAACCACAAACTCCGCTCCACAAATCCGAAGGCCGTGCGGGCACGCGCGCGGTGGCGAGGAAAAGGCCTGTGGATCTCAGATACCAAGATGCCGGGCGCCCCGCTGCTCCCGTGTTTTTGTTTCAGGCATTGGGTTCTAGGGATCAAGGTTGCAGGGTGTAGGGTTGAGGCTTTTGCTGGTAGGGGTTGATGGGATGGGTTTGCTTGGTGAAGCCGATTGGGATAGCAGGGGCCCCTATAACCCCCATATAAACCCAGTTTCCATTTCATTTTCCATTTTCTTTTCCATTTGATTCTCCATTTGGTTGTTATTAAGGGGGATATGTATATTATCAGGGCTCCGAAGCCTTCTTCAATTTGGCGCCTGTCACCGTACAGGAAAGGATGAAGGGTATATGTGCTTAGTTGATAGCTTCAGATACGGATGCAATGAGGTAAGGCGTTTGTCCTGGTTTGGCTGAGTACGCATACAGATTCTGCAAGGCTTTGTGGTCAGGAGTGTCATTTTGGGGACATCAAGCCGAGCCTGAACCTTCAGCCGTAGCTTAACTCTTGATCACCTGCCCCTAACTGTCAAGCATCCCCCACCCCAACCAATGATGAACATTCCTAGTCTCATGCCATTAGACAAACGTATACATATCTGTATGTATATGGTAGTTTCCCAAAAAATAGGGGAACCCAATATAGACCCTATAGTACTATAGTCCTTATTGTAGGGACCCTCAAAAGGGTACCCCTAATTTTGGGAAACTCCCATATGTGTATATTATATACACACCCTAAACCCTAAACCCTAAACCCTACAGTGTGTGGAGGTGATTGCAACCCGCAGCCTCTCTGGCTTCCTGTTGCAAATCCGCCTGTTCTAGACACTCCCTGCCAACTTGCAGAGATAATGGGTGGACATCAGCGCTTCTTTCACCCGAGCCTTGGGCTAAACACGGTGTGGGTTGAGGATTTTCCGGCTGGGGGAAGGTGTGCAGGCAGTAGGTGTGTACTTGTCACTTTCGGATGTTTGGATGGCAGGTTAAGAATTCTGCTTCCCCTTTGCTGCCCCGACCTTACAACAGCACCGGCATGGCTGCTACAAGGTTGCAGGGTGACGGGTGATGTTGGTGAGTCTATTGGAGGGTTTTCATATTCGGAGATGGCCCACTTGTTCTGCCCCAAGCCCTGATTTCTAATCTGTGCAAGGGGCTTTCAGGCTTCAGGGTTTTGAGCGTGTGCGCCTGGAATCTTATTCTGCCAACATGACCAGCGGCGCATGATCGTTCTACAAGGTGTGCGTGTGGGTGTGTGGAAAGACGCCTGCCGGGGTAGTACGTTCAGCAGGCAGAGTAAGATGATGTTGTCCGCTTGGTATGTTTACCTGGCTCAGCCACCGAAAGTCACTACCTACGTGTAACAAGGCGCTGACAGTTTGCCAGCGGGCTAGACTTTGGATATACGAAGCTACCTGGGTGCAAGGTTCTGTAACAAAATTCTTGGGCACGGGTAGGAGGCATGAGTACCTGTTGCATCGAAGCCCCAAAGCAGAGTCGTGGTAGCATGTGGTAGTTTTGCACACGCGAACCAGAGCTTACCCCTAGGGACGCCTGAAGCACGGCAGTCTATGGCATGTATGCGGATGTTAGATATTAGCAACACGGTTTATCATCCGAACCCTAAGAAAGCTTCCAATAAGATTACTAGTGCTACTGATATTGGTATTACGATTACTTTTATTCTCATTACTATTGCTATTGCCTTGCTAATAGTATTACTGTTTTTACAGTAAGCCAGATAGCTGACACATAATCCTTGTACTCACAGTATGACAGCCGTGGTATTGAGATGTTGGCGTGCAGGAAAAGGTAGGGTAGATTGCTAGGGGTTTAGGGTTTAGGGCTTGGGGGCCGCAAGTAGTACAAACCATCTGCGAAACACATCTTAAAAGAGGGAATTCTGACAAAGGAATCCAGGGGTCCTTCGAAAGGCCTTCCTTCTTTATTTGGGATGTTGGGGGGCGTTAAGGATCTATGCTACCGTAAGCTCATCCCCAAACCTTCAGAGCTCATTAGCATGAGGGCGCTGTTGAGATCTCTCCTAAACCCAGGAACTGGTTCTCCCGCTACATCTGGGGCATCATTGCCAGCGTCTGCTCGGCTGCAGTTGAGTGGTGTTTGTTTGACTACACCCAAAATCTGGTCCACCACCAAGACAATACAATGCTCACTTGAGAAAATTGCATGGAATGGAAATATTCGCTTCCGAAACTTCTGAGGGTTGGTTCGTCCCCACGAGTTCAAAAGGTTTAGGATATTAGGTCGCCTTCTAGACACTCCAACATGGCACTAAGGTTCCTAGCATGCTCTTGTAAAGAACCAAGTTTCGTATGTCCCGTACCTAATATTGACAGTCGTGTTAATAGATTTTCGCTCACGTTTCGTAAGAAATGTCCACGAAGCTGAACGCCCAAAGACTAGGGCTCAACCGTTCAAGCCCAAAGCGTCTACAAACTCAGGGACTTATTGTTGGTAGGGAATCAAGGGGATAGGTTAAAGGATGTTAAAGGTGCCATTATAGGGAACTATAGAGAGACTACTATAGGAGTTCATTCCTCCATTCCTTACTTTCTTAGCGATTTAGCAAGTAAGCAGGTCAACAATGAGGATAGCTCGGGTTATTACATCGCTTGTAGGGTCATATTATACACATATGTGCGCGCGGTGTTCCTGACTTTCAGAGTACCAACCCACGCAGGTCAACTTGGGCGGATTTCTCGCGGATCAACAGCCTCCCAGCAGCATCAGAACTGTTGCTTGTAGAAGGGGCTTAGCTACAGAGAGTGGGACCGGCATGTTGACTCATTCAGGGGCGTAGGGGGCCTTGAGATTTTCCTGGATCTCATTCCTGCCATGCCCGAGCACACCTACAATGCTACCTGTATTCCCACACCTCCCCCACTCGCCGGAAAGCAGATTGAGGTACGGTATTGACCGAACCAAGAATCCCAACATCATGTGGCCGTGGTGGCACGAGATCATGCGCAAGAAGGCTGCAGTGACATCATGGTTGCACCAATCCCTCATCCAAATATTACGCATGGCCCCCACCCTGCGACAAAGCAACAAGAAGTCAAAGTATGTTGTGGGGACAGTTTGGGAATGCGATTAAGCACTGGTACGTGCCAGGGGGATCACTGAACAGGCCTTGGTGAGATGCAAACCCCAGCTGAAGTTTTTGAACCCTCCCTAGAACTTGCGCGTACTTTGTTTCACCAACCTACTGAGAGCCAGACTTGTTTGACTTGATCACTGATTCATGCCTAGGGCGTAGGGTTGGATGGGGCGCGTTTTAGAAGCTTCAGGTTGTTCCCTTGAGGAGTTATCTTCAAGAACTCCAATTTTTGCATGTCTGGCACGGCTTAGAGCCTATCACGGTAAGGGCTTTCTTTGTGGCTTCGGGTTTAAGGCTGGGTATTTACACCGTATCATTCTTGGTTTAGGGGCTCGCAAAAGGGTCTCCTTTTGAAACCCTTTTTCAAGCCTTGAACTCCTTGAAGTTCTTGTGCTTACTTAATCGAGAATGTAAGAATGAGATATGAGAACTTTGTGGTGGAAACTGCATTAACTTGAACCAAAGGCCTGGTATGCATTGTGCATGTTCTTCGGAGCTAGGCTGTGATTTTTTGGGGATGGAGAGAATAGGTGTTTCATCAGTCTGGGAAATAGAAGAGCTCGTCTCATGCCAGCATACAGGTAGCGCTGCTCACCGCAGCCCCGACTTGGACATACCATACTTCCATGCTGCGTAGGTGTCTGTCTAGCAGTCGAGAAAGTGTCACAGCCGCGGCTATCAGATTTCTCCAGGAAGGCATCTGAAATGATCAGCTGCCTTTAGTTCAAATGCCTTCATTGGCAGGCTCTAAGGTTGTTTTACATGGCCCTGAACCCTAAGCCTGGTACTTGCAGCTTGCAGGAGAAGGGTGAGATCCCCATGGAGATGCCCGGCTACATGCACCTTGGCAACTGCAAATTCAGAATGCGCCAGGTGAGGTGCAAAAAATCCCCACACGCTTGAAGTCGCTGAGCCCGATAAACGGGGAGATTGTACCCTCAACAATAGAAGATGCCACTGGTTTGAGATGTTCTAGAGGTCCGAGCCCATTTTCAGTCTTGAAAGCAATTTCCAACAAATCTGCTAAGGGATGCTTTGGCTTGGAGTCTTCAATGCCCGACGTCGAACCCACCCAGGGCAAAGGAGTGCGACAGAAGATTTTTCCTTCAAGCAACATTGCACCACACAATGAACCATATCATTATGGAGTTTCTTAAACAAAGGTCCCCCCGTCTACACCAAAGACCATGTCATACCCTGTTGTAAGCCAAGGACCCTTAGGTTCGCGAAGCCACCGCCTCACAAGTAGAAGCCTGAAGAAATCGCCAAGATTGCTCCCTTCGAGACTGTATAAGATAACACCAAAACTCTATTCCATTGATTCAGGCCCTTACATTAAAGCCCCTATGAACAACTTCTTAATCACAGTGTCCGTTTCATCTTCCGCTCTCTTTCCGCCCCAAAGCCCTTCCCTCGAGGGTGAAGAGGTTTTCGACAAGGAATGCAGGAGAAATGAGAACTGCCACATTACTTGCTGTTTTGTGATGCAGGATCCGGGGTCTAGGGTCAGGAGGACTTAGTAAATAGGCCAGAGAGAGAACAGGCTACTTCATGATTTCTAGGGGTTTGAAGTATACGTACTACGAGCCCCTGGCCCTCAATGTATCAAGCCCTCCAACAACTTCGGTAAGCATGAAGCACCTGACCACAAGCGTTACCATGGTCATCTTTACAGCTGTTGTTGAACTACACTTGATAGTCATTTCAATGTACGACAGCCTTTAAATCTCAACACCCCTAACTTAGCCCCTAACACTTAAGCCCCAAGATCCAGACCACAAGCCTTGCTGCAAGCACCTAGAAGCGCTGTAGGTCCTAGACCCCAATGTTCACAGTTTGTGCTCACCAGGTTTTGAAACAAACCTCACTTGTAGTCCCTATGTCAAGGCGCCTTGAGACTACAAAGAGATTGCAGTGGTCATACTTAAGGATTCTCTGGCTAGAGAAGTAGACTCTAGCCCAAGTCCTAAACCTTAAGCAATGCACACTCTAAACCTTGACCACCCCTCAACCCCTAAGCCCTAAACCCTGAACCGCGTTTAAAACCTTACACTACTGTTGATACTAAAAGTCCTGCATGACCTTAATATACCATAGTACCATTCTTCCCCAGGTGTAAGGTACTTAGGGTCATGCGGGATTTTTTAGTATCCACCGTATCAATATAACCCCAAATATAACCTACTACCCAAATATAACCCCAATATAACCCCATTATAACCCCAATATACGATAATATAACCCCAATACAACCCTTGCTACTTAAGGGGGACAAGTTTGTTTTCCAACTTCAGGCTCGCCAAGTTCAGGAACGAGAGTGAGGAACGCTGGACGGCTGAACGGAGCCACGAGCAGCTCTGCCTCTATAGTCCCCCTTAAGTAGATAGATTATGGGGTATATTCTTGGGGTAATATAGGGATAATGGAAAAGAAAATGGATACTACTATATTATAACAGGGTATTTAGGTTATATTGGGGTTACATTGGGATTATATTAGGGTTATATTAGGGTTATATCAGGGTTATATCAGGGTTGTATTAGGGTTATATTAGGGTTATAAGTAGATGATATGAGAATGGGGTTATATCAGGGTTATATCAGGGTTATATCAGGGTTTTATTAGGGTTATATTAGGGTTATATTAGGGTTATGTTTGGGTAGTAGGTTATATTGGGGTTATATTGGGGTTGTATTGGGGCTATATTGGGGTTATATTAGGGTTATATTAGGGTTATATTTGGGTTATATGGGGATAACGGAAAAGAAAATGGAAACTACCATATTATAACAGGGTATATATTGGGTTATAGTCCCCCTTAAGTAAATAGAATATGGGGTATATGGGGATCTTATTATAATAGTATATATATATATGTATAACCCAAAGCCATATTCTATCTACTCAAGGGGGACTGTAGGGATTAGGGCTTGGGGGTTTAAAGGTTAGGGTTTAGGGTAGGCCCTGGGACATTTAATATTTTCCCTAATGGTTTTAATAGGGGACAATGTATACTACTGTTTTTCAATGGGTTTTAGGGGCCAACCTAGGGGTTTAGAGTGTAGGGTTTAGGGTTTAGGGTTCAGGGATTAGGGTTTAAGGCTTCGGGTTTAGGGACTAGGGTTTAGGGATCAGGGTTTAGGGATCAGGGTTTAGGGATTAGGGTTTTGGGCTTTGGGTTTAGGGTTGAGGGATTAGGGTTTGTGGATTAGGGTTTCGGGGGATACGTCATGGTTACTTTACACTTGAACAAGGGTTCTGGGGATTGGAGTACAGGGTTAGTGCTCAAGGTTCTGGATTCAAGTTTTAGGGTGTACGGTGAAGAGTTTAGGGTTTCAGAGTGTAAATAGACTGTAAGGCTTAGGCCTTTAGGGTTTAGGCTTCAAGGTTTGCAGTTTAGGTTTAAAGGTTCAGGATTGCGGGCTCAAGGTTTAGGTTTCAGGTTTCCAGGTTTAAGCTTATCATGGGGCTTGAGGAATAGGATTTTGGGGTTGGCTGTACCTAACTGGTTTAGTGGAGTTGAAGGGTGGATGGAGCTGGGATGTAAGGGTTTGGGGCTTATGCAGGCTAACCGTTAGAATTTTGGAGCAGTTTTTTGACGGTCCTGCGCACGCCGAGGGATGTAATCTAGGTATATGCTTGCGGTCACCCTAAACTGAGAAGATGGACCCCTCAAATCGGGAAGTTCATTCGCGCAGGTACCCGTCATAGTCGTCATGTTTACCTATGTATGGAGGACTGCAATAGCATACCATATAGGCTCTAAATCCGGCAGTCTCAAAACTCCTTAATTGCTTACCTACTTTCGCATCCCGCGGGGAATCAAGCAGCAGTATCGCAACACCAGGCCAAAACAGAACTGGGTTTCGAGGTAGCTTCTGAGTTGAGCCTGCGCCACGATGATCACTGTGTGTTTCGCTCAAGTGCATTAAAGCTTTATGCGTGGACGTCTCCTGCGTAGACTGAAACAATGCGACCCGAAGCATACTCGTAGCCTTCTACAAGCCCCAAGCAGGCATTCATCCAGAATTCATGAACCCCTAAACCCACACTCGTAATGTAGCAGCCTGAATGATTACCAACATTATGGTCCTAGGCTCTTTGCATAGGCCACCTCAGATAGACCTCAACAAATGGTACTAGCATTGACTTATTTTGGCCTCTGCATTACCCTCCACACCAAAGCCCCAGATCCTGAACCTGAAGCACCTCCGGCATCTTCTTGGCCTAAAGACTCAAAGACAGTTTTGGAAGAACACTTGCGGGGAATGCTCTTCATGTTAAGCATTGTTAAGCTGTATTGGACGACACCCTATGATGCCCGCAGGAATTCCGATGACCGTTCGAGAAACTGTGACTTTACACGAGAAAAGTTGACAAGCTCCCATTATTTATGACATGTTTCGATAGTTTTCACACAAATCTGTACTTGGATGCTGAAGAGAAATTGGGATGTAGCTTGGTAGTTGGGGCAGCGCGACTTCCTTTGGAGGGTTGTCGGGATAAGAAGTCAATTTACGAATAAAGTACCCGCAGCTTCCACTTGATCCATAGACTCTAGAGACCCCGATCCAAACTTAGACCCTACATCCTACATCTTAACCGCTACGCCCTGAGCACTGAAGCTAAATGGTAGCTTCCGCAAATAGGATAGCCCACTGTAGACCCCAATATGCTTTAATCCTCATTATGGGGACCCCTAAAATTGGCAATCCTAATTCCCTAAACCCCGAACCTAAACCCTAAGCCCTGAACCTCAGTCCTAAACCCTAAACCCTAACTCCTTTGCAAGAGAGCCAGGTTTGAAGAATACTTGAGCACCGCTGAGGCCGAGTGAAGCGACTGCAGTCAGAAAGGGTCCACAGGGTTTACGTAGGGGTTTAGGGTTTAGGGTTTAGGGTGGTCCACAGGCATGTAGAGGCGGAACCTTTAAGGATATACTATAACTTTAAGTCCAGGCCTTGCATGGTCTAGGAACCAAAAAGAAACAAAGGATAAGCGTTTGGACATACCTGGCTCCTGGCGTGTTGGTATGCGGGGCTTTGAACATGAATTTCTACATGGTTATGGTCTGGGTATACCCTTACTCCGCTACAGTTCCTATCATGTACAGATTACACGAGGCTTTTCTTAATTGCCGGCCAAGCCTAATAGTGGGTGAAGATTGGACATGCCCTCCAACGGCTCGCGGCAGCAACAAGATTTCGATCACGGCTATTGTTTGACCGGAATGCTTGAGTCGATCATGATGACATCCCCTTAACTAGCCACAGGCTAGCATGATGTACCCCTAAACCTAAATCTTTTTCATTGGGCAGAGGATTTGTTGTTCATGGTAGCTTCATTTCACCTAAGCCGCACCAGAAGTTCACCTCATCCTCTGGCGAGCAACCCGAAGATGCACTTAATCTAAGGCCTAGTTAGGCTTGTGGGGTTCGATGAGGTATATAAGGTACCCATTACCCAGGGTTAGGGGCCCATATTAGGGCCCTCAGTTCGAACCTTAGACTGAAAGAGGGTTTGTCATGATGTTCGACAACAACAACGAGCAGCGGCGGCACCTTCATTGCTAGCCCGAAGAACATGCACTCACAACCCTAAACCTTAAACCCTAAATCCTCCTAAACCCTAAACCCTAAACCCTATAGCACTTGTCGATATTCGGACCCTCCGTGTTCAACTGTGGCTCTTTATTCAACACAGTGCTGCGTGCTGCTGCAGCTACTGTACTGTCATCACTTTCGGGAGTCCTTATGGAAGTTTCTCAAACTAATCTTTGAAATTCCCTAACCAGGATGCTCACCAAGAATCTGTTTAGAACCCTTCTGTGTGTGTGTGTATATAGATTCGTTGGGGTCCCAGCGCTCCCCCGCTCTTCCCCTTTCTTTTAGAAGTTCTCATGGTGTTAGCAGCTTTTCGTGCTAATACCTCCTACGGCCATATCTGGAACACATAGTTTTCCTTGAATGCTGCATACTCCTGAGGAACTAGTTGTTTTGTTATGTGCCCCAGGTGACTATAGACACGGATCATGAGAGGAATGGCGCATGAGCGAGCTATTGGAGGTGCTATTTGTTTCTGAAAAGGGCAGTATGATGAGCAACGAGTCGGGCTGCATGGGAAAAAAAGCGAAAGCGTGCGTGCAGCTGAATGCCACTTGTAGCCGTGCCCGGATTTTAAGCATTCATGCTGGCAGCAGTGTTCTGTCATGAGCCGTTTGCAACAGTGCTGTTTGTTGAGGGTTAGTTTAAGCGTGATGCGAGAATTAGCTAGAGCAAGCGTGGGAGTCACTTCCTAAAAACACCTAAACTGATGCCCCTGACCTACTTTAACCCATACCTGGCGAGGTAGAGCAATCGCTTTCAAGATCGGTTTGCAGGGTTTTGGAACCAATATTCACATACTTTTGAGGTCCACGTACTATGTATCACGCTAGGCTGTAAGCCCTGAACCCTAAGACGGCCTTGTTGGGATTCATCAAATATCAAACTACCTCAGGTGTTGAAAGAGTTTTCGCACCCTCCCCCAACAATTCCCCCAGACTCCTAGTAACAAATGCCCCCAACATAGTACCAGTAGATAACAAATGGAATGTTTGTCATGAGTTGGTGGAGTCTATTATTATGGGCGAAACTTTTATGCAAAGTGTGCGGCCCATGAAACTCTCGGTATGGGCTGCTCTCCACAGGTGGACCCAAGTAATCTCACGCCACACCTTTATGCAGGTACATGGGGATTTGCCTAGATTCAATATAATACGGGCCCTATAGTGGGGTTCCTTCTGTGATACGGGTCTCAATGTAAACTTACCCTTTTTGCGAATGGTACTGTAGGCCAAGCCCCAAACGACCACAGAAATTCCTGAAGCTGTCTTGAGTTTGGGGCCTGGATCTGTGGCTATCTCTTCAAGAAAAAGTACACGCAGAGACCGACAGAAAATGGCGGAAGAGAGATCTTGAACTCCAGCGCCCTTGCCGGCAAGCGCTGAATCCTACTACTCCAAGCTTTCGCTTACAACTACTGCAACCTTCCCTCAACAGATTCCTCCGCTCCCTGAATAATGAGTGAACATTCCGCCATATATAGGGGTACTAAGCGTCTAGATGATTCTGGGCCATTTTTTTGGGCCGCAAGAGCATTGGAAATGCAGCGTGGAATTCATATTGGGATTTCAAAAACGGCAGTCGTTGGGATCACCGGAATTTGGATCATAGATGGTTATCGTATTTTGGTGTCGATTCTGGATCCACTCCTTTATGGACTCTCACTGCTGTTGTACTGAATCTTACTTGCGCTCATATGGTATTGCACAAAATTGGGGACCCTAATGTAGACACCCAAATACGATAATTCTGACTATTCGGACCCTGAAAATGGTACCCTCGTTCTGGGAAACCCCCCATATTCGCCCTTATTCTGCCACTTCTCTTTTCTCATCATCCCAGAGCCCATTATCTGTTTTTCTACTGGGGGCACCCAGCCAGAGACCAGACGTCTGCATCCTCACCACCGCTAATTCCAGGGTACCTAACCCCATGGCTAGGATCTCCTATTTATATACCACACCAGGTATTGCAAAAAAGGTTTGGATATGACCTTCTAGATTGCCCAACATCCCGGACAATTTTGCGAAGCCCAATGTTTAAGCTGCCCGAAGCCATTACCCCCAAAACGCGTACCGTAGGGAGATATTGCCAAGGTCCCAGATTCCTTGTATGATTATAGTGTATGGTACCTCAAACAGGCCTCAAAACGCTGCTGGTACTTACTCAGGCTTCCCGACATCACACTCCCTGTCCCCTACATAATCACAGTGTTCATTTCATTTTCCTTTTCTTTTCCGCTTGGTTTTCCATTGTCGTTGGGAGGATAACCCTAAACCCGAAAAGACTCCCTTATGATCCCAAATTAACCTTGCACTATGCTTTGTAGAACTTCTAACCCTTATGGAACCCTATATAACCCCTATAGCACCTTATATAACCCCTAGACAACCCTATATAACCCCTGCAGAATCCCTAGAGAGTTCTATGTAACCCCAAGAGAACCTTATATTATCTCTACAGAACCCTATAGAAAACTCATAGAATCACTATCAGCCCTTACAGCTCCCCCTTGGTTTCTAAGGCTGATTGCTGCATTCTCAGAGGCCTGGGATGGCGATGAGCCTTCCAGTGAAAGTTTGTGGTTGTCGTTGTGGGCTTCTCTTTTTTTTTGGGGGGGGGGGGAGGGGGGGGGCTGGTGGTGGTGTATGTTGGAATGTAGGGGTTTATGTAGGGATAAGTTAGGTTCAAGACTTGAATTATCAGAGTTTTGAGGTTTCTGAAGATAGTGGACAGCTGCAGATCTCACTCCTTACCGGTTGGTACTTGAGTTTGGAATGAAGGACAGGATCTCTATAGTAGCTGCTACTCAAAACCGTTCTCATCGTGGCCCATTTGATCACCTCAATCGCTAACTAGCCATGAACCGTTAGCCAACAATCAGGGAAGAGTTGGGTTCCAGGTTTTAGGGCGTCGGACTGCCAAATCGTCTGAACCTTCAAGCTAAAAGAGGGGACCGAGACTCTCCAACCTTCTGGCCTGTCCATGAGGGCATGCTGCCAGAGTTTGTAGTAGGATAGGTTAATCTGTTCATGGGTTGCTTCAGCTTAGGCTTCATTGAAATGATCCCTTAAAGACATCTTTTTCCTTGTGTAACCCTAGACCCTGGAATTCTCTGCTCTTATAAAAGTCACATTACCCTTACGAATTCCACATGGTTTTGAGGGAGCGTATCCGTTCAAATTCGATTTGAAAGCCCTAAGCTGATTCAATACTTATATAGGGTTTTATAGGGTTTTATAGTGGTTATATAGGGGATTTATTGGGAGAATGGAAAAGAGAATGGAAACAGCAATACAAAGTCTGGTAAACCCTTGGGATTCAGCTACGCCTGGACAAACATCTGTTAAACTGCCGAGGCCCCAAATGCATCCGGAAGCCTTCCCACACAGAATTCACCCCTAAAGCCTTAAACTGCCAAGCCCTAAGCCTTGAAACTCCCAAGCACGAAGTCCTAGATTATCGCAAAGCCCTCAAGCCCAAGCCGCCGCGGCCAACAGCGGCAGGCTCTTCGTGACCTTGACTGGCCGGGGGTCCATAGTGCTGAGGCCAGCATTGCGAAACAGCCCCTTTCCCAACAATACCCCTCCAACTCCCAATCACACATTCCTGCTGGTACCTTTGATTAGTGCTGGGGTGGAATATTCACTATTCAGGAGTTGCAAGTAGCATTCTAAGGGGGAGGGAATGCTGTTTTGTTTGCTGAACGTGGTGTGTTCTCCTTGTCTTGGCAAGCCAGGAACCCAGTTCTGATGTGTGTTCGTGTTGGAACGTTTCAGGTCTTTCTTTTTCCGCTGATGACACTGTTTTCCGCAGTGTTGTTGCCATTGTTGCTAACCTTTTCAAAGCTAACGCCACTTATCGTTATGACGAACTATCAACGGCATCAGGGGCATCAGAGGGAGGACTGTCACCGCTGCTGGCGCTGTTGTCGCCGTTGCTACTTGCTGTTCAATGCATTTACGGGCCACAACGTACTTGCAGAGTGGACTCCTGACGACGTACTTGCTACCCCGATATTTGCCATGTTCCACTCGCCTCTTTTGCTGCCTGCTATGGAGACGACGACAGCGATAAAGGCCGCAGGCACTACGGAATCAATGTGTTGATATTGTCGCCAGGCTTTTGCTGGATTGAAACTTAGGAATGCCCTGGGCGTAGGACATAGGCAGTACTGATATGTAGCAGACGCAAGACTGAGAACGTGTTTAAAGTGATTTCCATTTCTGG